TAAGTCTTCACGTTCATGGAAAACTTCAAATACCATTTTCATGTTAATTCTTTGACTACCATTGAAATAATGATTTCTAAGACGATTGTTGCTATGATCAATCTCCATGACCGGTTCATGACAAGGTAATCCAGTGATAAGACAAAATTCTTGCATACCAAATCTAACAATACAATCATCTAATTTTACCCATACTTCGTTATTTTTGCCACAGTCAACAAGCCGAATTACAAATTCATGTATCAGTCTACTACTAAATACCTCTTCCTCTTCTCTATAAATAATTCCAGAAAAAATTCATAAAAATTACTACACATTATAGAACATTGTTGATTTGCATCTATAAAATCTATAAAGTTTTTAAGATATTCCTGACTTGGATATTAAGTAATAGTAGCAGAAAATCATTGATTTGGAGATAATATATATTCCAAAGATATCTGCATAAATAATTTGAAAACAAAGTATTTGTAAACAAATTTAACAATTCTAAACAAGCAGCGAAATAATATTTATACAAATTCAAAAATACATGAACACAGAAAAAAATACAAATTTAAAAACCTCCGTGCATGGAGTTTGGAAAGCTTCATGTCCTCCCCCCTTCTTTCGAACCTCCATGCACAAGGGTTCCCCCCTAATTTTAAAATTTCACTTATATTTATAAATAAAATATGAAGGTAAAAATCTAAATACTTACCTTTTGGTATGGATGGTGCTTGCTTTCAATATAGTTGGCTTTAATATTAGGAAGAGAATGAAGATTTTGGGATATAAAAGGAATGGTATAGATAAAGATAAAGTATAAATGTTATGTGTGGTAGTAAAAAGTCTTCTACCCAAAAAAATATTTTTTTTCACTATTTATTATACATATACATATTTCTATATTATTTAAATTAAATGAATTGATCTATAGCATCATTTCTTTTTCTACAAATAAATATAAAATGTAAATATTTCCTCTAAGGATTTTTTAAACTAAATCTTATCTTCATTCATTAAAACAATTCAAAAATATTTCTATATTATAAGTATAACTTCACTTCTCCATGCTATATATTAAATGTCTGTCGTAGTCCTCATATTGTCACGTCTGCTTATTTCAAACTGTCACGTTTTCAAATTTTAATAAAATAAAATAATAAGAACTAATAAAATAATCTTATATTCCATTACAACCATATTTTTGTACTATAAATGAAATTTGAAAGTAATCTCTATATCTTATGCCAGTAATCAATAACGTATGACTATTTAGATAATAAGGTATGACTGTTGATGAGATTTTACAATGTCAATTATTTTATTTGTTTTAACCATAAAAAAAGTTTCATATTCAGTCTTTCCTTTTTTTAGTTTATTTATCCTATCTTCATTTTTTACAACTGACACGTGAACACGTAAATACTTTAACAATGTCCTTCCAACATAGTATACCCAACATTAAAATATTTATTAAGCCACCATGTCTCAAATTTTTTTTATAAATAAGGTAACACAAAGCTTCAGCTTCACATCTACAACTGCAAAAATACAAAAATTATTGTTACCATTTAGAGCTTCCATACTCTAAGAAATTATAACTTCTACTCATACTGTCTTCTTCTTCTTCTTCTTCCTACATATTAACAATTGCTATAACAAAATGGCTGCACTTCATAAATTCATTCCACTTTCAGCTTCAGAAACCAATTGGTCAGCAAAAGTGATCGTTGCAGGAAAACAATCCCCAAAGACTGCTCGGAATTCCAATAGCCATTATCAAAATCTTACTCTCATGGATTTAGAGGTATAAATATAACTCTCGTTTCAATAAGTTTTTACCAATCATTATACATGTATACTTTCTAAATGTTCTCATCTTTTTTTTGAACAGGGAAACAAAATCACAGCAACAATGTATGATGCTAATATCACTGCACTAAACGATCAGTTCTAACTTGGAAAAACATACATTGTGTCAAATGCAACAGTTAAAGATTTCAAAAGTGAATTTCGAAGTTCTCTTGGACAAAAAATATGGAATATAACAGGAAGAACAAAAGTTGAAGAATCAAATGAAGACAATTTGAATCTCATTTTCTCAAAATTTCAACTTACCGCGTTTGATCAACTAGAGAGACATATGGACAAAAATGCAGACATAAGTAAGATTTCTACTGCATTACATTTAAACAAATCATTTCATATAACATTTCGTAATTTATTTTTTACGTACAAATTTATTACATGCAAAAATAACATATAAAATATTTCATAATTAATTTTTACGTTCAAAGTTATTGCATGCAAAATAACATATAAAACAATTTACGTAACCTTGTGGGTGTGATGAGTGTCGCTATAGGTGTTCGACAGAAACGCCTTATTCAAACTAACTTTGGTACAAAAGCTTATTTACAAGATGTAGTCTTGATAGATAAAGAATTCAAAACTGTTATACCAACATTATGTGATACCTTTGTCGAAAGAGAATGCACTTCGATAATTGAACATCTTCCAAATAGACCCGTGATATGGGCTACAAATCTCAAAGTTTCTTCGTTCAACAGTAAATTTCTCTTACAAATACAATTCCATCTATAATATTATTATTTTTTTCATGTAAGATATTATTAATTTCTTTTGTAAAGGTATCACACTTTTGACTAAAGTAAATAGCAATTTTTCATTAATGTCCAACTACATGTTGTTGCGGAGTATAAAGAATGGTAATACAATGTACCTAATATACATATTGCTTATTTACGTACCTTTAATACAAAAAAAATAAAAATAAAAATCAAAGGTTCTATTTTATAACAAAATATATCGTTATTTCTTGTAGGGTGGAAGCTAACAAGGAAGCGCTTAACAAACTGACGGAAAATAAACCTTTTATTGCTGTCAGCCCACCCAAACTTTCTCCTCCTACTGATAATGAATTGATACCTATTGAGGATTTATTTGGGGTGTATCTGACGGTACTTCTATACTAATATAAACTGAATATAATTAATAGAAACTCACTATCTTTAATTTCACGATAAATATTATAGTAATATCACGTATTTTTCTTAGTCGTATCCTTTTATCTAATTATATGAGACATGTCCTTTAACAGAAAAAATTTTACTGGGTGAATGCACGCTGGAAAATAGCTTCAAAAGATCAAAAAATTTGGTATATGTCTTGTAACAACTACAAGAAAACTTCCAACGTGAACTTTGGAGAAATTCATAAATGTCGATTCTACAAGTATGAACACTCAAAAGCAATCCCAAGGTAATTTCTTCTATTAAATATAATAAGTTCAAAAATTTACTAATTATTACTTCAGAAACAACATACATAATACATGGCTAAAAAAAAAAAAGAACATATTCTTTAGGGTAAATGCTTTTGTACAATTTGAAGACAAATCCGGTTCGTTAGACGCAACCATCATAGGAGATGCAGCAGAAGTGTTACTGGAAAGTAGTGCCAATGACTTAATGAACCATCTTCAGAGGGTACAACATCATATTCAACATCCTTCAAAAATGCTTTTTTTCTTAACAACAAACACGCCACTCTATTCAAATATATTTCGTCGACCACAGGAAGGTATTAAAGAACTCAATGACGTTGTCAAATTGGAAAGTGATATAGAGCTACTCTTTTACCTCAAGACAACAGAAAAGCTCCACGACCCACCTGAGTACCTCTTTGAATTCATATTCGTGTTCAACTCCTCCACAGCAAATCAAGTTGATTCCTCAATTGTTACAGAAGATGCAAACAGGCAAATTGAAATGAAAAAAATTCCAACAACAAAGACGTAAAATGCCAGAGCAAGGTATCTGGATGACCCAATGACATTTCCACCGCTACTGAAGAAATCAATCCATCCCATGCAAAAAAGTTTCTCTTCCAACCATCAAATGTACCTATTGAAGCAGAGTCAAAACCCAAAAAAAGGACTCACACAGGCTCCAAAACCAATGACCGAAACATTGGGATCACCTAAAAAAAAAACATGAATGAATAACATCTATGATACTTTTGCTACAATTTTGTGACAGTAGACAGTAATCAATGTTTTATTTTGTATTTCTGGAACAAGTAACATGATCTGTCTATATGTTTGTCTATGTATAAGACTTTAAATTCCATCGAATAGCAATAAATTACTACTCTTGAAATTTAAAGTTTGTTGTTAGTAAACTGATATCAACATTAAAAACTAAACAATTTTCAACATTAAAAACGCTAACATAACGTTCAACAGAATCCTGCCCGTGCAATAGACTAGTATTGTTAAAAATGACTATTTCTGCACAGAAACGTTAGGCTAAGGATGCAAGTGTTGATTGAAAAAAGAGTAAGTACCTTCATGACATGGGGAATGTGGATGAGAGATAAAGAATGAATTAAATCAGTGGCCACAAAACTTTCGACAGTTTCTACTACTCATCCAACTTTTTCATTCATCATCCTTTGAGCAAACAGTTGACGGAAAATTCCAGATGGCAAAATTAATCCAAATCAATTAAATTGCACTCAAGAAAATTAGATGTTCCTTCATTTTATAAACACGAGTGCAAATGCAATTTCATAGATCTGACGCTAATCAGCTTGTATTTTCCGTCGTTAATTGAAAAATCGAAACCATTTTTCACTGAATGGTGAATGATGAATCGAGCAAAAAATGGTTTAAGTGTGGGGTAACGCCGCCCCCGGGGCACATTCAAATTGACGGAACAATCACATTGGGGGCTCTGGAACCAAGCGTGGGGAGTTCGATTCCTGGTGGGAACCTTTGATCCAATAAAGGAGGAATTATTGGTGGATTAATCACCATGGAGGAAGCTCCCTTTGGGGAAGGAGTAAAAGCCATGTGGGAACTTGAGAACCAATAAGGGCACATCCTGTAATTTACCTCCCTGAGTAATTGAGGGACCGGAGGTTCAAGGACGAGGATATAGTCTGACGCAAGCTGGGACACCTCGTTAAAAGAAAAAAAAAAAAAAAAGTGTGGGGGTAACGCCGTAAATAGAAGTTTAAAGTTTTATGCGACCCATAAAAAATTGCAAAACCCTCCTTTCGCCTTACCATCTTCGGTTGTACACCTCACGGCGGACCCACCACTCACTCGCACGGCCTGCGAAAACGCCGCCGTTGATCGACTCCAGAGAGGTCTCACAACACAATTCTCCGTGTCCAAGTCACTGCAATTTGGACTTCAATTGCTTTGGGCAGTGGCGGTCCGTGCTCCGAGACGCTTTCTTTCAAGATTTTGGAAGCTGGCATGCTTTAAGTTTTCCCAGAGATGTTATGTTGATAGAAATGCATCCAGTTTGTGGACTTTTACCCGGTTTCGCTGAGATAGCCATATGAATTGGGTTCAAGAAAGGTACATAAGGTAATTAATGCAGCAGTTGCATTTTATCTGAAATTTTTTCAAATGAATGGGACTAAAATTTGTAAATTCCATCTATTTAGGAAGTTCCTTCTGTTTGAATTTTTGTTATCTGCCAATAAAATTCGTAGAACTCCTCTCGATTCAATGAGGTGAAGGTGTTAGACCAAGTGAGGGCAGGAAATAAGGGTCTATACGTGTTCATCCCAGCCGTGTAGGTGCATTTCTTGTTTGTGCGTGAATTAAGATTTGAGATCGACATTTTAGTGAAACTTTTAATTATTCTTGGTTGCAAATTAATGTTATGTTAGGGGTTAAAGAAAATGGTGTTTAGTAATTGGTAAGGCAATAGATATATAGGTTTTGTGTGCCATAGAAAAGGGTCGCCAATGTACTTTCAAAGCATGTGTTCAGTATGTTTCGAATCAGAACCTTACCCTTTCTATTGCACGGAGAGGATTCATTTTTTGAAAAATGATTCGGAAAGTATTATAGCTATATAAAACAATAAACTCTTACATTTAATAGAACATCCTTACAAAGATAATATTGTGATGCCAGCAAGTGGATTTATTATTGATTTATGAGAATCAAGTCCAAAAACCAACCAGTTTTCTTCCACACCAAAGTATGTGAATAGAACAATCTTTATGTAAATTCTTTCTTAACACAAGTTTGGTTTTTTGTACTCAATGTCATATTTCATTTTAGCAATATGTTATTTTATATATGTTGAACTTAAAGATATCAGCTAAAAAATACTTCCGTCTTTTCTTAGCCATTTTATGTAAATTCTTCTATACATATGTATATGCCTGAACACTTTGCATTTGCAAAAGTAATTGCATGATCTTAAAGTAAGCTTGGTTAGTTTGCTTTGTTTTGGTGCTTTTCAGGTTGATTGTGTAACCACTTGCCTGATAGATTTCCGGAGGACCACGAAGATCATTTTTTTGTGTTATCTGAGGTTCCTATGTGGAGATAAGAAGACATCATGATATGTTGACAGCTTTTTGCCTTCTTCTTTAAGCGCAACGAGCCGCAGAGGAAGCTGGGCAAGAAATTGTCGAGCCTTCTTAGTCAGCCTCTGCCATAGATTAACAAGTCATAAATTGCCATTGCCTCTAACAGTTGAGGAGAAATGTACCCATATACTCTTTCTGCCTTCTACAGGACTCCCTCAAATGTAAATATTTGCCGTTCTGTTTTCCTGTCAAAACCGCAAAATATTTCCCATTCCTGCTGCTCAATACCCTTAAATAATGAAGAACAACAGAAACGAGATCAAAAAGGTCGACAAGAATTCCAAAAATTGAAGGAGAAACAAGAACCTTTAATTGTCTCTCCATCTCGAATACGAAAGTTAATTGCCACCCAATCAGACCCACTCCTTGCAAAAGAAATCTTTGACTTGACTTCTCGTCAACCAAATTTTCGCCATTCATATGCTACATTCCACACACTCATTCTCAAACTCGGCCGCTCTAGCCACTTCTCTCTTATGCAGTCAATCCTTTCCAGCCTCAAGTCCCATCAACATTCTGTCTCCCCCTCCCTCTTTTTTCACATCATTAAAATCTATGATGATGCAGGACTGCCTGAGGAAGCACTTAAAACTTTCTATAAAATTCTTGAATTCAACATGAGGCCTCTGGTGAAACACCTCAACTGTATTCTTGAAATCCTTGTTGTTCATTGTAACTTCCTCCAGGCCGCGTTCGACCTCTTCAGGTCTGCCCATAAATATGGGGTCTACCCTAACACAAAATCCTACAACATTTTAATGCAAGCTTTCTGTTTGAACGGTGATTTAAGCATATCATACTCATTGTTTAATCAAATGTTTAAGAGGGATGTTGTCCCTGATGTGGAATCATATAGAATTCTAATGCAGGGCTTGTGTAGGAAGAGTCAGGTGAATAGAGCTGTTGACCTTTTGGAGGATATGTTGAATAAAGGATTTGTTCCAGATACACTAAGCTATACCACTCTGTTGAACAGCTTGTGTAGGAAAAAGAAGCTTAAAGAGGCTTACAAGCTTCTTTGTAGGATGAAAGTAAAGGGATGCAATCCTGATATAGTTCATTATAATACAGTCATTTTGGGGTTTTGTAGGGAAGGTCGTGCTATTGATGCCTGTAAGGTTCTTGATGACATGCCCTCAAATGGGTGCTTGCCAAATTTGGTGTCATATCGGACTGTAGTCGGGGGGCTGTGCAGTCAAGGCATGTATCATGAGGCAAAAAGTTATATCAATATTATGATGTCAAAAGGGTTTTCACCACATTTTTCTGTTGTTCATCTACTTATCAAAGGTTTCTGTAACATGGGTAAAATTGATGAGGCCTGTGAAGTGTTACATGAGATGTTGAGGCATGGCGAAAATCCACATATCGAATCTTGGGCTGAAATGATACCAAGGATTTGTGCTGTAGATGACACGGAGATAATAACGGATACCCTAAAAGAGGTGTTGAAGATGGAGATAAAGCGTGACACCAGAATAGTTGAGGTTGGTGCTGGCTTGGAGGAATATTTGGTCAAAAGGATACAAACCCGTTCAAGAATGCATTGATTGATCCTGTGAAATGGCAGTGTAGATCAGATCTAGCAACTGGACCTCAGTCAAACACGGAATGTATCATAGGTGATATCAAGCACTTCAGTATTGTTCAACTTCTTTCATATTCCAATCCATTTGTCTTCCATGGCGATTAAGTTTCAGTTGTGAACTAAGGAATTGTTCTCTGGTTGCCGAACATTGATAGTGGTGGTAATGCGCCTGGCGAAGATGTTGAAGACATGAGTTCAGTGCTTTCAATTTCCAAACTGGAAGTGGATTCATTATTCCTAGTCGAAGATCAGCTCAAGGAGTTTTAGAACATCGTGGAAAGTTTATAAAAGCGACTTTTCTTCCGGCAAAGCCACCTGGCGAAGATAAAGTGCTGTTTGGTAGTGAAATCGGAAAACACTAAATAGTGTTGGGTAGAAACAGAAGTTAAAATATTGTTCGCTACTGCTTAGCAGAGTGCACAAGTGGTTTTGCACACTCATCTGATAGGCTAGGTCCACGAAAGTGCTAATGAGCACGGAGTACTGCCAGATAAACTGTGAGGATGATTGGCAATGAAAGTGGTGCTAGCTTTAACAAGGGGAGGCACATCAATAATGGTAACGTAACAGCTCTTGTATTTGTCCCATTATAGAAGAGCCTGATCTGGTCTGAGGCACAATGCGCCATCTGCGAGGGCACCGCTATGCCCCTTATTGAATCAAATGGTCAACTTTTTCCTTGTGAGCTTGTGTTTTTGTTCTTTCTTTAGATGTTTTTATGGCTGCAATGGAATATGACCTTGTAAATTAGAAACATTTCTTGATCGTCCTATTTTTGTTCTTTCTTTAAGATGTTTTCATGTTTATTTATTAGGAGGAAATCATTGAAAATGACCTAATAACCCATGTGTATTTCCGAAGTAACCTTTGACCAGTGTTTAGGAAAAAACGAAAATTGATTTTAAAGGTCAAAATCTCAAATTCCCTCAGACGGTCACTTTCCCATTGGCTTACATTCGACCAAAATCAAGGAAAAGCTACGGTCGGTTTCCAATCGGTCAGAGATGTTTTCAGTTCATAACAGGAAACCTTCTTGTTAAGGTAAGCTTCGAGTTATTAATTAACTAGATTAATGATTAGATTTTCATATTGTGTGTGAATGTTTAATTTGTTGAGGTTTTTGGAATGTATTATTGGTTATGTAGGTGTAGAAGTATGAATATGGGTCTAAATTGGAGAATAATAGGTGGATTTTGAAATTTGCAAGCTTTTCTCGCCGGAAATGGAGATTTTCCGACGAGAAAAGTAGGGAAAACTGCCGGCTACATTTTGGGAAAAATTCAGCTGTTAACAATCGAGTTAACTAGCTGGTTAGCCCAATTGTCATGGGTTGATTGTTACAGTCAGCCATGACTGTGTTTTGTTTTTTCATGGGCTTACTAACTGTTAAGTGGGCCGACTGTTATGGTCGGTCGAATAACAGTCACCCATGACTGTGTTTTATTTTTTCATGGGCTGACTAACTGTTAAGTGGGCTGACTGTTATGGTCGGTCGAATAACAAATTTTTTTTTTTTTTAATTTGGGCTGAAGTATTAATCGTAGAGAAAATGGAATTTCCACAATAAATGCAAACTCCTCTGATATGATTAACAATCAGCCCATTGACTGTTAAGCGGGCTGACTGTTACGTTCGGCCCGTTGCCTTTAGTTTTTTTATTTTTATTTTTTTTCCTTACATATATTTAAGAATTTCATTTTAAATAATTTTAATTATTAGTTTTTAATAAATAATAATTTATTTATTTGTTAAATTTAAATAAAATTTTTAATTTAAATTTTAATTTGAATATTTATTTTTATTTCCTCATTTTTGATAAATAATAAATTTTCATTCTCAAATTTAATTAATTTTCATAATTATAACATTTAATAATTCTTTTAAATTTAAATTTCATATTTAGTTTTATTAATAATTTTTATAAATAATATTCTTTTCGTTAATCGAATTTCATTAATTTTTGTCATTGTAATTTTGAATAATTATTTGATTTTAGATTTCACTTTTATTTTTATTAATAGTTTTTGATAAATAATATTTTTTTCATTGATCGAGTTTCATTAATTCTTATTATTGTAACTTTGAATAATTATTTAATTTTAAATTTCATATTTAATTTTATTAATTATTTTTTTTATAAATAATATTCTTTTCGTTCATCGAATTTAACTAATTTTTGTAATTATAATTTTTAATAATTATTTAAATTTAAATTTAAATTTCATATTTATTTTTATTAATTATTTTCTATAAATAATATTATTTTCATTTATCGAATTAAATTAATTTTTGTGATTGTAATTTTTAATAATTATTTAATTTTAAATTTAAATTTCATATTTAATTTTTTTAATTATTTTTTTATAAATAATATTCTTTTCGTTTATCGAATTTAATTAATTTTTGTAATTGTAATTTTTAATAATTATTTAATTTTAAATTTACATTTCATATTTATTTTTATTAATAGTTTTTGATATATAATATTCTTTTCGTTCATCGAATTTCATTAATTTTTGTAATTGTAATTTTGAATAATTATTTAAATTTAAATTTAAATTTAACTGTATTTTTATTAATTATTTTTTAGAAATAATATTCTTTTTCATTCGTCGAATTTAATTAATTTTTGTAATTGTAATTTTTAATAATTATTGAATTTTAAATTTACATTTCATATTTATTTTTATTAATAGTTATTGATATATAATATTCTTTTCGTTCATCGAATTTCATTAATTTTTGTAATTGTAATTTTGAATAATTATTTAAATTTAAATTTAAATTTAACTGTATTTTTATTAGTTATTTTTTAGAAATAATATTCTTTTTCATTCGTCGAATTTAATTAATTTTTGTAATTGTAATTTTTAATAATTATTTAATTCTAAATTTAAATTTCGTATTTATTTTTATTAATTGTTTTTTATAAATAATATTCTTTTCGTTCATCGAAATTAATTTTTGTAATTGTAATTTTTAATAATTATTTAATTTTAAATTTAAATTTCGTATTTATTTTTATTAATAGTTTTTGATAAATAATATTCTTTTCGTTCATCGAATTTCATTAATTTTTGTAATTATAATTTTGAATAATTCTTTAAATTCTAATGTTGATTTTAATACTTATTATCTTTTTTTTATATTAGGGAAAAAAATTGACATTATTGATAATAGGGTAAAATATTTCACTGTATTAATGATTTTAATTACTATGAATCTGCGTGTTTCGTATTGTATTTACAATTTCGTTCGCTTAATTTTCTGTTATTATACTTATTCTATTATCTCTTGTACAAAACATTTTGAATTTTCACAGTGATGAATTATCATATTGACACAGAGTTGAGACAGATGTCAAGCAAAGTTACGTGGAATAGTAGCTTTGACAGTTTCACTGCGGTGTTAGAGTTGTTCGATGATCAGCATGTTGATATGTTGTGTTAGTCCTTCCTATGGCCCTTGTACTCGTTGAGAGATCTGCAGTACTCGAATCGGATTATTGATACACTTCTATGTCGATTGCTGAGTCCAGTTGACGGCGATGTCCTCCACTTCGCAATCGGGGGCAAAGTTACCAGTTTTTCGATGTTCGAGTTTTCCCTGATCCCAAGATTAAAGATGATGGGCGATGACACAATTGGTGAATAGATTGCATGACACTTACTTTCAGGAACAGGGGAGTGTGCTTCTACCACAGCTGATCGATGCAATTAGGAGGTGTGGCCAAATGTTAGACAGTTTGAAGTTAGGCATGGTCTACATCGTTGAGAGCGTGTTACGGTGTCACCACAAGAAGACTGCGATCGACCCCTTCTATCTGGAGATTGTTGATGATATTGATCGTTTCAACGACCATCCACGAGCATGACACTTACTTTCAGGAACAGGGGAGTGTGCTTCTACCACAGCTGATCGATGCAATTAGGAGGTGTGGCCAAATGTTAGATAGTTTGAAGTTAGGCACGGTCTACATCGTTGAGAGCGTGTTACGGTGTCACCACAAGAAGACTGCGATCGACCCCTTCTATCTGGAGATTGTTGATGATATTGATCGTTTCAACGACCATCCACGGGACCGGAGATATTTTGAGGATACCGTACACGTCTTCACCCGATCGCACTCGAAACCCAAGGAGGTCATGCGCAAGTGCGACACTTATGGATTGCCCTTGGCGATGCAAGTAAATGATTAACATAATCAATGTTAAATTATTTTTCCTATTGAATTTGTATATAATGATTGTATGTATTATAGATTTGGGTGTACAAGACTGTCCCTCTATTGGGTACCCGTTTTGCAAGGTGAGGGGAGACATGCTGCCCTCGGATGCACCATTGGAGAGCATCTCGAGCGGAGGGATGTCCCACTGGGAGACAGTTATCGGCTCTCCTCGATGACCCTCAGGTGAGTATTATGTATTTGTGGTTTATATTGTACATAATTTAAAATTTGATTACATGATCATTAACTAATTTAAATGTCAATATGTCATCTTGAAACTATATTTGAGTTGACGTCGTCGATGGAGGAGGCTCAAGGTTGTGTGCGTGAATTCGGCCTTCCGCACACCCAAGACGACTAGATGTCCGATTCAATGGACGATCGAGATTGGGTGAGTGAATTGAATATAATTTAACAATTACCATTTTGTAGGAGTTAGTAATTACGAATCAAGTTAATAATTCGTAATATTGTTGTTTGTGTAGGAGCATGGTCTGGTTGATCTACGACCTCCACCCCCGCGACATCGCCTTCGCCCCACAGGACATCACCTTCGGCGACCCTGTCCAAGGACCTCCCTGTGGATCTCTCGCACATAGTCAGAGTTTTGATGATCTGTATGCTTGTCTGAGTCGATTTATAGCAGAGCAGGTTAATGGGTTGCGTCGAGAGATCACATATAGAGTAATTACGAATCAAGTTAATAATTCGTAATATTGTTGTTTGTGTAGGAGCATGGTCTGGTTGATCTACGACCTCCACCCCCGAGGGCATCGCCTCCACCCCCGCGACATCGCCTTCGCCCCACAGGACATCACCTCCGGCGACCCTGTCCAAGGACCTCCCTGTGGATCTCTCGCACATAGTCAGAGTTTTGATGATCTGTATGCTTGTCTGAGTCGATTTATAGCAGAGCAGGTTAATGGGTTGCGTCGAGAGATCACATATATGGTCGATGATCTGGTAGGAAGGGTCCAAGATTAGTCCGCTGATGTTAGAGTGCTCCAGGATGAGATCAAAGCACTTCGAGGTGATATAGTTGGCAACCGATGGGTTGACGGAGGTGGTAACCGGGGGGGCGACAGAGATGGTGATAGAGATGAGGGTGATAGATATGAGGGTCACCGACAGTTGTAGTACGATGATGCATTGAAATCTTTTCTATTATCCGTGGAGCAGGAGGGGATGGGAGGGATGGTAGAGAAGGTGGCGATCCTCGGGCTGAGGAGGTGGCGAGCCCCGAGGTGGAAGAGGTGACGATAGCCGGGGCGGAGAAAGGGGCAAGCCCCGAGATGGAGGAGGTGGCGGTAGTCGGGATAGAGAAGGTGACGATAGTCGGGGTGGATGAGGTGACTAAGGCAAATAAGCGTTTTGTTGATGTGCCGGAGATGGTGGTCGGCAAGAGGCCGAGAGTGCCGTCACAATACGTCATCTCTCCCTTCACCACTGAGACGAAGAGGAGGAGGTTCATCGACGGGACGTACCCCAATATGTTTCGGGAGGTCGATCATGCCAAATGAAAAGCATTCGAGGCTCAGTGGCGAGCAATGTTACCCAGATAAGTATTGTATGATTTAGTAGAGTACCAGTACTCGTATAAGTTTCGTTTAACTTTTTTTTTTCAGCATCACCCGTATGATAGTCGGAAGAACGATATCGGACTCATACAAGTGGTTTCATGATATCACCACTCAGGGGGCTTAGCTCGTCGACAATGTAAGTGAAGTGTTATTGTTATTGTTTGTATACAATACATTTAATTTGTTAAATGAAATAATTATTTATTTCTTTTTCGTTTATGTAGTACATCGACATGGTCATGGACTTGTTGCGTGATCGAGTTGAGAGATATCCACAATTTTTCTACAAGCTTGGCCGAATAATACTGAACACCGAATTTTTTGTGTCATTACCATCGAGTATCAGTCGCTCCAACTTATGGGTAACGGGTACGTGCTTTCCACATATATGCTCGAGTGGGTCATCAGCTTGTCACCGACTTTTGGGGGAAAGTCGTGGGAGGGCTGTACGCATATGTACATTCCAGTGATCGTCAATCATTACTGCATTGCACTGGAGATCGTGTTCTCTGAGTCGACGATATATGTATATGACCTCGATCATTCATGTCTGACACAGGAGCAGCTTGAGCAAAACATAGAGCCGGTGATTGTGATCGTTCCTATGATGGCTAGACGGGTGATCTTGACTATGCAGGACAAACTAGCCATCATGCGGGATAAGACGACGGCTAGGCAGTCTATATCGTAAGTGTTTGTAATCTTTTTTTAAAATTAAATTTGAACCAAGCTAACACAATATTGTTCATTTGTAGGGTCGACTATGACATTTTCGTAATCAAGTACATAGAATTTTTGAGTATAGTACATAATGTTGGTAGAATCAATTAGTCATGAATACAGAATTGGCGGAATAAGTTAGCGTGCGACTTATTCAAATTTAATTGTGATCCATAGATTATTTATAAATATTTTTTTGTAATTAATCTTTGTAAAACTTTTTTGTAATTAATATTTGTATATATTTTTTTGTAATTAATCTTTATAAAACTTTTTTGTAATTAATTATTTGTAACTGTTCTTCGTAATTATTTGTGATCTCGAATAAACATTGAACAGTGTACAGTCTAAATGTCATTTAGGGAAATTTGACTAGTACAAAATTGACGAGTATGTCCTATGGCTTTTCACCTGTCGCACCTACGCGGTCGAGGAAACTCTCTGGTAGATGATATTTTAGATGTACTTGGACGTCCAGGATCATGCGGTTCAACTACTGGTGGCAACAAACTATTGAATGGGAGAATATGATCAGGAACTTTCAACTCGGCTTCATTCGACAGAAGAAATATAGTCTCAGCATCTGCTGCTTTCCACGACTCAGTCGTGTAGTACAAAGAGCATAATGTTCTCGCTGTAAAGCTTCGATACATGGCCATGACGACTGCATGCTCATATGAAAAACTCTCTAACTGAAATCTCATACAAGTGCATGTGTTATCAGTCAAATCAATCATGTATGCCGTATTACGTGCACATTTGCACGGAGAAGCGAAACTCATCAAGTGCTTCCACATTCAACTTTCTCGCAACATCTGCAGCCTTGAAGAGTTTCTCCTCTTGAGCTGGGGCCAGACATTGGTGCAACTCTGTGATGTCGCACGTCGGTCATGAAACCACTGTTGTAACTTGTTACGAATATTCTCAATCATTACGAGAATTGGTAACTCTCGATCCTTCTTAAATAATGCATTGAGAGACTCCGCGTTATTCAACGTCACCATGTTGTATCGGCATCCTGGAAAGTATGACCCGCCCAATGTCCAATCCTCATGTTCGTTAGATATTTCCATGTCGCTAATGATTTACTTCCTATCTCGGCCATGAACTGATTACACTCTTAAACACTGTAAGTTTCGACTGTTCTTCTAAATAATGAAACGATGTCTTTACCCCGATATCTAGTCTTCAAATTGCCTTGTATATGGTACATGCAATACCCGTGATGTGCCTCGGGAAAAACTTCAGCGATACCGTTTATTATAGACTGTCCCCAATCAGTTACAAAGGCAAGGTTTTCGACTTCCCCGATCACTTCCCTCAGTTTAGAAAAGAACCAACGCATTGACAGATCATTCTCGTTGTCGACTATGCCAAATGCAAGAGGATAAATTTGGATGTTGACGTCTTGACATGTAGCAAAAATCAACTTGCCTTGATATCTAGCTTTCAGAGTTGTACCATCAACTAGAATTACAGGTCGCATTGCATTTCAAAAACCCCGAATACATTGTCCGAGAGTTATGAAGAAATACTTAAAACAATCACAGCCCTCCATCTCAATAAAAAATGTCGAGCCAGGATTAGTTCTCACGATGTTATGGCAATACCTGCCCAATTTAGCATAACTCTCATCGGCTGATCCCATTAAATCCTCAAACGTACATTCTTTGGCCTTCCAGGCCTTCTGGTAGCTCATGACCACTTCATACTCTCGACGGACGTCGTTAATGATGTCCGAAGGTAGGTAGATCGTCTGTAGATCCTGATACTTATACATTATCTGTCGATTAATAAACCATGCTCGAGCTTGCCTGTGATCATTTCGACAAATTTCCACTTCGCAAGTATGTTCCCGTGCATATTTGCGAATTACAAAGCACTCATTCGTGTCCATCTTAGTCACACTCAAGCGCCAATTACAATTGTCGTCAACGCAGGCAACTGTCAACAATGACTTGGTTGATTTCTTTACCTTGAACTTAAAGTTATATTTTAATGTCATCCGATGCACAGCTTCCTGCAAATCTTTCTTGGTTTCAAATAGTTGTTCGATATACAAATTCTTATCATCGGGAGCCACACGCGAAGAATTAGAAGACGGTCCACTTGTTCCACCCACCCCGCTTAGGTTTCTGTCGGGATAAAGTAATTAAATTTTCATTTGTAAAATCATTTATATTTTCGTTGTCCTCAACTGTCGAAGGAATTCTGTGCATAACAACGACTTCACGATCAGTAGCAATTGTCTTGGGAATAACCACATCATCTGCAGGAACTATCTCCACTGTCTCCCAAAAATCTCGATCATTATTATCCATTCCATCTGAATCTTCACGTTCACCTTCAACAACATCCTTCTTAACTAAAGTCACGCCAAGAACAGTCGGAGTCCTATGCATTTTATTCAATTCTAGTAGATAATTCAATTGAACATCATTAGAACAAATATATGTGGCATCAGAATGGACGAATCCCCATAACCATTAAATAAATATCTCAGTTACATATCGTACCGAGAAGAATCGACATTCAGCTTATTTTGCAAATCCTGGTACACTTTCGCATATGATGTACTCTCTATTACGGGAATTGCAATACAACCAAATACATCACTCGTCCATCTCCATTCCCATATATTATTTTCATTCAATTCGAAATCACCGAAATAATAGACCGGAATTATCATATCTGTATGACGATATAAAATTTTTAAATCAATTATAACAACAAAAATTCAAATATTTATTTATATAATCAACTTGTAATTAAAATTATAAGACAATTGCTAAAACAGAAATTAATAATAATAAAAAAATTCGTACAACAGTCGGGGAAAAACAGCCGACTGTTGGCTATTTAACAGCCGACTAACAGTCGATCGTCAGCTTTAAGACAGTCGTCTGTCGACTGTTAGACGACTGTCTAGCAGCCGACTCTGCTGTCTAACAGTCTTTGTTAATATCCCACAGTTGATTGTCGGACTGTTTATTTTACGTATGACTTTTTATTTTTTTATGATTTTAAAGAAAAAATTATAGGTTTGTTAAAAAAAAATTTACTAACTACTGTGTTATTTAACTACTCAAACGTACACTAATTTACTGAAATCGAAATTAAGCATGTGTAAATATACTTACCGATTTGAAGTAATTGATCTAAAAAAAATTCTGGATTCGGCGTTTGAAAGTTTTTTTGATATTTTGAGGTTCAAGCTGATAAAAAATGATAGCTTTTCTGTGTTCGAAACTCGTTCTGCAGTTTTATAAGTGAGGAAGTGTTTGGTTTTCAATTATTAACTAAAAGGATAATAATGTCTTTTAAACTATCCAATATTTTGTAATTATATAATATATTTATACCCTGTTTGTGCCATATTTTTGGCTCATTTTAATGAAAAATTGGACCGTTTGGTCCTGCAACTCTGTGACACCTATTAAAGAGTCACATGGTAGAAATATATATTCTTTCCTCCTTTGCCCTTCTACTGCTTTCCCAGAACACTTCGTCTCCAGACTCTCTCTAGTGACTAAAGTCCCATTTTCGTCTCCAGCAACGCCTTCTGCAGAAGACCCTCCATTCATTTGCGTGATTTTCGCAAAGGTCACCGGGAAGTGACCATCAACAGACAATGGAGTAAGAATACAAGGTACCGTCCGAGATTCATTTTCGTCTGGGCGTGCGTTCGTGTTCCCAGTCTGCACAAATTCTTTTTGTTTGGCAAAAAGTCAGTAGTCCAACGCCGGCATCCCTGCTGCCTCTGGTTGAAATCGACGACAAACTTCATGGATCCACACTCTACTGAGGTAAGCCGATGGCTAAGCACACCATTTACGGTTCATATTTTACTTTTGCTTTTTCCGACCACTTGGCGCTCCTTCTCTGTAGATGGGCTTCGACCTACAGCAAGAATTTTCCGATGCACGAGTTCTTGCAAACAGGGGCTTAGAATCAAGAAGAAACGCGAGGTGGAAGCGACAGAACGGATGACGTTCATAGCAGCTTGTGAAACTGCCACTGCTGAAGGTCATCGCCATGGCAGGTGTTTCACGAAACAAGGCTGGGAGCGTGTGGTTGCATTATTCAATTCGTCGTCCGGCCACAATTGGACAAAACAATAACTCTGCAACCATTGGGATAAAATGCGTCGTGACCACAAACGCCTCCGCGAACTCTTATCCTGCAGCGGGGTCGAGTACGATCTGCCAACGGGTTACATTGTAGCATCCGAGAAGTGGTGGACGCGAAAAATCAGGGTAAGGCGCCGGTTTTGAATTTGCAGCGTTTGTAACGTTTCCATTAATCACCACAACCTACAACCCAGACACAAATCGATGTGCCTTGCAACTATATGGTAGTTTGTTGTTGTTTATTTGAGCATGCACATACCATGTTGTTGCCGGAAATTAAACTGAAGTTGTTAATCTTGCATGCCATATGAAATGCAAACAAGGTTCTGATTTCGGCTTTTGTTATTTCTCTGCTTGTGTACTTTCATTTGCTCTAATATTTGATAACAACTTTAACACAGCTAGGATGCTTCACATACTCCCATGCCTTGTTAATTTCTTCGAGTGAAACTTCATGGGTCAATAGTTCATCCAGCTGTTCAAACAACATTTTTTTTCAGTCCATGTACAAAAAGGCATAATCAATTATTTTAAGGAAGTGACGAAAGTGTGTTTTCTTTTTTCAACAACTTAAATTTTTAAACGAGGTGATTCAATCAATAAAGCTTCTAGATTTCATCATGAAACTCGAAATGGTTTATACCTTATTTATGCATTTCTCAACTATTTTAAGAAGGTCTGTTTGAGGTCTTACTCCACCATAAATGGACCCTTTAATTGTCCTATCACACAAGATTGGAATGTATTCGAGCTCCCCACTCAAACGAAGTCCTGCACTAATGAAAACTATTGTCCCAAGTCCCTGTTTAAATGACACGGTTAAAACGAAATTAGTCTTATGTTATGATCAATAGGAAAAGCCATTACTGATATTGAAATTGACAGAAATATTTGAGGAATTTTACCGCTTTGGATCCCTCAATTGCTTCATTTAGCAGCTTTGGAACTCCAGTGCAATCATAACAGTAATCCACCCCCAGTCCACAAGTAGTTTCTTTGATCAATTCTGATATAGGTTTATCAAATTCTTTTGGATTGATAAATTCGGTCCTTGTATACCATGTTGTAACTAATTGATTCTTGCGTTTAGTTGGTTAAACACTATAGTTAGACAATCAGTTAAGCGGGTTACAATTAGTTAGAATTAATGAAACTGTTACTTGTAATCTGGTAGTCATTATAACTGATGTATATATATACACTTGTTGTATATCTCTTGATCTGTGGCTATAAATAGAACCACGAGGGCTGAGAATAGAATGTGAGCAAGAGGGGAGCATTTTCTGTTGAGAGAGTGAGATTGAGAGAGAAAAGTCTCTGTAGACAATCTCTGAAACTTCCTGTGACTCGATTGAGTGATGAGTTCTTTGTTTTCTAAAACCATCACTATGTAATATCCTCTTGAATGGCAGATTGAACGTGAAAGAAAATCCTTGCAAGTTGGTTGATGAAAATTTGTCCCAGAAACATGAAATTCTGGAGTCCATTAATCTGATTTTTGCCGAGTTTCTTTCCTACCAGGATATGTTTGTCTATAGCATATTTCAATTTTCATTTTTTTTTTTGCATTCATTACTGCAGGAGAACAAAGACTACAAGGATTTCAAGGACAAAAATGTGAGCGAGATTTACATCCGCTATCGCATGCTATTTGGTGAAAGCTACGACGGTGACAAGTATGCAACGACCCCGAGCCTGTTGTCTAGAACGGGTTTAGCTGTGTTTGAGAATAGTGCAGCAGGGGACCACTTGGATGACATTCCCGTTGACAGAGAGGGCAGCAATTCTAGCGATGAGGGGGACGGTGGAACTGGTCCAGCAAGTATGAACACTTCGAGTGCTCGAAGTGGTGAGAAACGACAATCGTCCACGAAGGGACGAAAGGGGAAGCACAAGAAAATTTCGGCCCGTGATCTCTCATTTTCCGTGGAACGAGCGACCATTGCAGAAGTGGCCGCAAAGCTCAATAGCGTCATACATGATAACGAGAACGTCGGGGCCGCATGTATCGAGGAGTTGTTTGCGGTAGGACGGCTACAGCGTCGCACCCCTCTGTATTTCTATGTATGCACACTCCTGGCGCAGAAACGCTATCGGGATATGTTATCTGTCATGAGAGATGCGGACGAAAAGTTCGAATGGATTGAATGGCAGTTCAATGAGCGTGGCAAATCACTCCACTAGGAGTTCACTGTTTGCTACGTACTTATGTAATACTATAGTGGTGCACCCCGAACATTTAATTTTTCTTGTACTTTTACCTGCTCATAAATGGACGGTTTGGACACTTGTGTTTGTACTAATGTTATGTAGCTACTATTGTCAATATGTGTTGCTTACTGTTGTGATGTGCTTTGGCTGATTGTGGAAGGCGGGTTCGGGTGAGAAGTTGGAAATAATTTGGGCCAATAAAACCATATGAATGCATGGTCGAGTCATGGAGTTCAATATGATGGAGGTAATAAGCTGAAAGACCGAGATTTCATGAAGGTGGAGGAAGCCAAGCAAACTGGGAGCAATTTTGCCAAATCTGTAAAACCCATTACTCTCAACGTTGATCAAGTTAAATTAAAGGAGAAATTGAAGAATAATAAAGGAGAAACATATTACTCTCAAACCTTGATCAAGTTAATAGAATTTATTCTTAGGAGTCTAGTTACGTTTCTACAATAGTTTAGGAGTTTAATTCCAATTTTAATTAGGTTTAGGGAATGTTAGTATAAATAGGATTATTCATTGTATTTTTTTACAACTTGTATTATGTTGCGTATTTTACTCGTGTTGAATAGCATGTCCTATATATGTACTCATTTTGCAGGGAATCTTACAACCCATTTTTGCTGTATAACATGTCTCCAATCATGCAGCCTTTGTCTTTTTTGTTTTCATTCACCCAATCAATTAGCCCACTTGCTACAATGAGGCAAACTTGGCTTTTGCATTCCCCTATATAAATGAATGTCCCCCAATGGGTGGCCAAGAACCTTATTGCGATAACGTGTTCCTGGATTGGTGGTACGCTATGGGTGATCTGAGCTTTGATTGCGTGCTACAACCAGGATCCGACGTAGAAGAAGAGCTCGAGGATGAGTTGTTTGACTGTCTTGCGAATGACGTGACAACTTGGGTCACATTTTCAGCCGTTGCAGGGATCGATGCTCGAATCTATTATCGCACACAGCGAAATCGGGTGCGATGATTCCCGTTCTTCAGAAATGAGCACATGTTCATGATGGAGGCTGTGAGCGGGAATGGAAAGATGTGTGCTACCAAGAGTTCTGAATGTACCCACCAATGTTGCGCCACTTTACACATTTGCTGCGAGACGAATATGGTTTAACAAGTAGCCAGCAGATAGATATCTACAAGAAAGTTGGTATGTTTCTGTGCATACTTGCACACGGAAAGGGATATCGGCAGGTGACAACGATTTTCAATCACTCTTTGCAAACTGTCTGTCAATTCTTCAAAGAGGTGCTACGTGCCGTCATGTCGCTATCTGAACGTATTATACGACCGACGCATAACTACAATGACGGTGTCGAGCCACACAAGCCGGACCCGAACAAGCATCCACTATTTCAGGATTGTATTGGGGCTATTGACGGAACACACGTGCGAGCCATGCTCCCACGTCACGAACGAGTGAACTTCATTGGTCGAAAAGGAATACCAACCCAAAATTTGTTGGCCGCATGTGATTTCAATTTATGTTTCACATTCGTGCTTGTTGGTTATACCGGGAACATGCATGACGCACGGATTTTAGCTCATGCTATATACAGCCCGGAGATAGAATTTCCGCAGCCAGCAACGGGAAAGTATTATTTGGTGGATTTCGATTTTGCTCATCGGCCGGGGTATATGGCCCCGTACAAAGGTTCAGACATACTGTATTACTTTTAGCAGTTTCGCGACGAACGAACAGGTCAGCATCTTAGGTTTTGAAATGCTCGTGAGAAGTTCAACTTCAGGCACTCTTCGTGTAGGAATGTCATTGAACGTGCATTTGGTGTGTTGAAGCAGAGATGGAAAATCCTTGATCGTATGCATAGTTACTTGTTCCCAACACAAGTTGCAATTGTCGAATTTTGACATTTTTTTTCTTTTTTTTTTTCATTTACATTGTGTTCGGTTCGGGGGGGTGTCTTCGTTATTCTGAGATTTTATTTTTTTATTTTTTTGCAAATGTCTAAGCAATTAAAATGGTCACCTAAAAATCTTGGAAGTGGTTGTATCTGTCTTCATTGTGTTTAATAATGCAAAAATATAGCCGACACTTTTGACTATTCTTTGCTAACTTTTGTGACTGTCTTCATAATGCAGCTTTCTGACTATTTTTTGCCTACTTCTATGACTTTCCACAATTTGCTGACACTTTCACGTGGTATGGGCAAAATTGGAAATTTTATGCTTCTTGACTGCTGCAACGTCTGATAAGTGCACTGTACAAGGGCCCACCATCACAGTTGAAACGGTCGAATTTTTCATTAAAATGAGTCAAAAATATGGCACAAACAGATGTTTAAGGGCATCTATGTCTTTTACCATTCAAGGTGTTAATGTAATAATTTTCAAGTTTTTAAAAGTCAAAGTGAAAATAAGAACTTTTAACTAGGTCAATTTTAAAAGTACCCCATTTATTAGTCAATTCCTCTTGCTATTTTTCTGCCATCTTCTGCTCTCTTATTCACCTCTTCAGCGGAGGGGGTGCTCCTAGATAAGATTTTAGTATTTTTATCTTTTTAATATCGTCCAATATTGTGTCGCCTTACTAAATGTGTTTCATACAGTAGGGTCTAGGCTGATCTTAAAAATAGTGCATCTTAACATCCGCTTTGCATCATTATCCGAGAAATTTCCGAGTTTTGGACCGAAGAAGCAATATTGTTCAATATTATCAAACCAGCTTATAAGCATAGCCAAACAATCTATGTATGCAATTCAAACAACATTTCACATTAAACTGAATTTTTACAATTTTGTGACATTAAACAATGTATATGCACTTCTGCATTTTGTTACGTTGTACAAAACATTCATTCATTTCACGATGAATAGCTTCGTTTTATTCTGACCTTATAGTTGCAACTTAAGCTTCAACAGAATTAAGCTGGGAGAATTGGTTGACTTCTCTTTTACGTTGTTCAGTAGGGGATTAGACAATATTGGGTTGTCATAAATAGGAAAAACAAGTCAAAATATTTTCCGGATTTCAAATTTGGAACTCTTTATATAAAAATAATAAATTTCATCCCCATCAAAGTCTAGGTTAATTATTCTCCGTTTTACTTGGTGAACAGCTTTTAAAAGCTGTACACTCGCAATTATTTTATTCATGTGGACTCCCTCAACATGTGAGGGAGCTATACACCATGATATAAAAGTGATTTTTTTCCATTTTTCTCTTACTCTCGAAATGTAGTAAGTCGATTTATATGTATTGGATATTGTAGTAGATGTAGGTGAAATTATGTCTAGTACCTCGTCTTCATTTTTAGTGATATATACGGATAGTGTGAGGAATCCAAAAGAATATTGGATTGCAACTTAAAATTTATGAAATATACTGATAATTTAAAAAATATATATATATGCACTGTTATAGTTAGTTCCGCAATTATACAAAAAGTAATAGAAAGAAACCTAAAATTTTCTAACTTGGTGTAGTTGCCTTTGGCAAAATTTATGAATCATTTTTCAACAACACATTTCAATTAATTTACTTATTTACTGTTCATTTATATCTTTTCGTAAATTTACCGTCAATTTTTTTTTTTTTTCCAAGGACCACCCACCCTGATAAATTCAATAAGGATTGATTGAACTAATTGTATTTGATGGAATCAGCAATAAAATTCATTTATAAATAATACATAGCAATCCTAAACTACAGTTGTGATATAACCCTTTTCTCGGTCTATAAAACATTTCTTGTCCAACTATAAAATATGATAGGAAGAAGCCGGACTGACAGAAGAGAACTGACCGATGCTTTGACACCCACTCACAGCATGCGGGCCCGACCTGAATAAAAAATTTCAAAAAAAAGTGGCCCCCACCCATGTTGTGAATATAGGTCAAGCCTTCTGTCATTTTTTTCTGTCACTGCAGCATGGTCTTGATACGATAATGTATATGAAATTCTCTATTGGGTAGCTTTTCGACTCCCTGCAAATGGACGTAAAAATGAATTACACAGAGTTCAGCAAAAAGTAAATTTTTTAACTGAAATCCCAAAGAGAGAGACTGTGTAACTTTTAGACAAGTTACTAAAAAGTAACAATCATGCTTACAAATTAATGCTTGTATGCTAATTAAAGCGACGTCCTATCAGAAAGGTAAAGCTTAGTACATTATTTGCCATTATGTTTCCTCAGTCCATCCAACACCATGTTGTCTATGGTTCAACTGATTAATAATAATAGACAAAATGAAGTTTCAATAAGCTCATCATGTCCTCGTTTCATTGGTGGTTTCAACATTGTTGGACCGCATAAATAACAGGTCAGCAGATTCGGTGGTATATAGACGATGGCCGGTTTGAATTTAACGAAACAAACACATTTGATCTCTCATTCTTATCTTATTTAAGTCGAGCAGATGTGAGAACACATATAAAGGCGAAAAAGACGGGCTCCATGATGTTGAAAGTCACAAACCATGTGGCTCAAGCATCACGCCGATGTTACAGCTCTAGAACGAAGAACTAAAATTTCCACCCAAAAGAGGGGGAAAAAAAAAAAAAAACAATAGACCACTCAAATGATTTCGGTAGATCAAGGAGATATTTTAAGGTTTAAAAGCTTTTTTCGAAGGCAAGATGAAACAGAGGAAGGATAACAGTTTGATTCTTGTAAGGCCAAAAGCAGCGTTGATGTAACTCTGAAGTTGACACCAAAAAACTACACCAGACTACTTGATCTAATAGTGATGCAAAGATTCATTTTGCCACCAAGAGAAAAAGGAAAGGAAGAGAAAACAGAAAGGACAGAAAGTGATAGGGACAAAAAAAAAAAAAAAAGTACCTTTCAGCTTAAGCGGTCGATTAAAAAAATATCTGAGATCGCTATAATCTAATAGAGTTCAGTATGGACTTTTGTCCAGAAGAAGTTAGGAATCGTTTTGTGATGAGAATCATATGCATTATTGCAAGTGGCGAGAAAGGAGAGTAATTTCCATTACTTTAGTAAACTGCAATAAAAGAAAGTTATTCTAAAACTAGCGATGCTTGACCTTCAGAATCTACAATTAAACAAGCACATGATGTATTACATGAAATATGCACGATAACAATGTTTCTTTTGACTAATTGCAGAAAAAACGTGTGCGCAACAACAAAGATTTACACTTAGGTTGATTCTTTTATGGCACATCCACAAAAATAAGCTAAAACTATTATACCTCGTCAAGTTGTGTTTAGTATTGCTTACCAAATATGCTTTTAGTGTGACAAGACAAGAATCATGAACAAGCTTCAAAGTTGATGGCTGAACTCAATAATTCAGAAATATTCGATGGAGCTCAAGAATTATGTTTTAGAGCTCGATTATCAATTACTGAATGGAATTAGAGGCAACCAATTCCACACATTCTTTTATAGTGGCTACAAATTTGAAAATAGATTTTCCGAAACTTTTTATGTGGTCCAAACTTTTTGAAATTTATGCAGCTGGGGTTTGAAGAATCATGATCTTTCGATGATAAAATTCAACAAAACACTGTTAAACACTTATGTCGATTTAGTAGGGTTTAATTTCTAACAAAATCGGAGCCATGAAAAGGTCACAGTGTGGAGGATACCATCTCGTCATATGAAAAAATCACTGAGCAGATGAATGAAAGTAAAAGGTGTTGAACTTCTTACCTCTAATATCCGCCCCAACGAACCTGGATAAAACTAGCTGCTTATTTTCTCTATCCGTCTCTTCTATAGGGAACACAATAAAAAAGCTAAGGGAAGAAGGAGAATATTAAAGAAAGACAAGACCTGAAAAGTACGAGAAAAAGATATCATTAGACTGATTGAAGCAGTTCCTCAACTGAGTCATTATGTGCATGTTTAGTACATGGTATTGGGGAGGAGCCAACAGTATACTAAACAAGATTTTAGTACTTTCAAATCCTCCCTACTAAACATACAATACATGATTCAGGCCAAACTAGAAAAGGAAAATGATGCAGAAAACAAACAGCAGACAAGTTCGTGTAAAATTAGATATTTACTTACGTTTTTCTTTGAAGCAGAATAATCCATGCGTGGAAGTGGAAGTGGAAGATAACCTTGTGATGATAAAGCTGTTCCAATATCATAAACTAGAGTACCATTAGGATAATACAACCCATAATTCCTCTCTGACGTTGGACCGGGCTTTAAATCCTCATTAAAAAGTGCAAAAACATAGATGTCGACTGGGACTGACGGCTTCGCTGGAGTACCTTGATTTTGCTGTATCCTGTTCAGCAAGTTAGTGTTGTACAATCTAGCATTATCTGCAGAAGCGCCTACCTCATTCGGGTCCCCCTCAGATGGCCATCCTGTCTCAGAAACTTGAACTCTTATATCTGTATGTCCGAATGCTTTGATTGCCATATAAACAGCATCAATTTGAGCATATAACATGTTGTCGTATTTCAAGTTCGTACCCGGATCTTTCATCCCAGGATTAGGCTCGAAAAGTACATACTATAGTGAAACCTGACCAGGGTTATCTTTGTATGCAAAAAAGGGATACGCATTTATAAGGAATGGTGATCCCGTCTGTGAATGGAAAACTAGTATGCGCTGGAAGTACTCGAGGAGATCTTGTCGAAATGCGCCTGCAGAAGGAGGGAAAGAGTTACCTAAGATTCCAATCGAGTGGGCCGTTGTCACATATACCTCCTTGCTTAGCCCAAGATTTGCAAGAGAAGCATATATTGTCTGCATAGCTGGTAGCAGATTAGACATTAATTGAGTATCGTTGCCCGTGAGTATCTCGTTTCCAACAGTGATGCAAGAGATCTTGGTCTGAGAAATATAAGGTTGAACATGCTGTTGAATCCATGTCTGGGCTTGAACAGGATCTGTCATCTTCTCAAGATACTCGTTCCCTAGTCCAATTATAAATTCGACATTGGAATTGGCGAATGCAGTCAACACATTTGGATTCGCATCGTAAAGCTTCACTCTGCTCATGTTGAGAGATTTAAGGAGATATACCACATGGGGCGGCGAAGGAAGATTATTCGCAATTTGACCATAATTAATGCCAATTCCATGGCCTAGGGTACTAACAAACGAATCTGAATAGAGTGGGAAGATTGTGAGGCAACAAATGTACAATACACAACAAATGAACGAAATTCCTCACTGAGAAATCAAAAGAATATATGAGTAAATTACTTAATTAGGTAGAAAATAACTTATTTCTATCTCTGACTCGAATAATTCCCACAAACAACACTTGTAAGTCTGAATTTGTCAATAATTTAAATAGAGTAACAGACACATCATCCAAACAAATTCCTATGCTTTAAATAGCAAGAATCTGCAGTCATTAAATTTTATGATGCTGCTGAATCAACTGCTTATATCAAAAATTTCCACTAAAGAACTATGAATTTCATTCATAAAGAACACAGAATCAAGAAAATCTGAATCCTGAACAAAATTTCTGTCACCTATTTGAGCAAAACACTATCAATTCAGATAAAAAGCGATAAAATCTGTATATTGACTAACTATATTCTCTGTTAGCTAATTCAGCAAAAGAAGCAGAGACAGAAAAAAATTCAAGCTGAAAAACAGAATAGCCCATTACATGCACATGTATAATTACACAGTTTTTCTTGAAATAAAAGTTTAAAAAACAAAAGACTGACAAGAACCTGAATATGTGAGGAGCAGAAGAAGAACCCTGAAAGCGGTGGCCATTGCTCTATTAAAATATCGGCCACGGCGGTGCAGTATGGGCGTTTCTCTCTATGTATAGTGTAACTTTACGCTGCAACGCATGAATTAATTGTTCCAGTGATCACCGAAATTAAGTCCATGTCTTTGATTGGCCATTAAATTTTAAAATATCGAGTTTTGGTAACTAAACTTGAATCTATATCTTTAATTGGTCATTGAAGTTTAAAATGCCAAATTTTGACCACTAAACTTTGAAAAATATCAATATTTGGTCATTGAACTTAGGTCTATATCTTCGATTGCTCACTAAAGTTTAAAATACCGGGTTTTGATCACTGAACTTAGAAAAATATTATACATTACTTACTGAACTTTGAAAAATATTGTACATTACTTACTGAATCTTGAAAAATGTTGTACATTATTCATTATAAATTCGATATTTTTCAAAGTTCAACAGTTATGCTGGTGAGTAATGTACAACATATTCCAAAGTTCAGTGGCCAAAACTCAATATTTTAAACTTTAGTGAACAATCAAAGACATTAACCTAAGTTCAGTGACCAAAACTCGACATTTTTCAAAATTTAGTAGTAACTCTACATTTTAAAGTTCAACGACCAATTAAAGACATAGACCTAAGTTCAATAATCATTGAAACAATTAACTCGCAACAAAGCATATATATAAAGTCGTTCTTGCCCCCTTTTTTCCTTTTAATTCGTTTTAAATACGTATAATTATTCACAATTTTGATAATTTTTTAATCACATACTCAGTAATTAAAAATTTAATTTTAACTTAAGACAGGGCAAAATTTTATATAATATGAAAATGTATAAGCAGAAGGTTTTTAACATTTTTGTGATGATAAGGTTGTCACTTGGTAAAGATATTTTGTATATGTTCTCGAGTTTCTATTTCCACATTTCTGCATTAATTCTTTGCTCTTTTTGATGTTCAAAGTGTTAAAATATGACAAGAAGAAAGCAGGAAGGAAGCTCGTTGCCAGCAGAGATTCCAGTAAAGTCAAAGAATTGCCAGCTACGCATTGAATTCTAGAAGAATCAGCTAAAGGAATTTGTGTGTGTGTGTGTGTGTGTGTGTATATATATATATATTAGGATCCAAATCAGTTAT